TCCCCGGAGCATTAACTCACGATCGTGCCACGGGGCGAAGTCAAGAGATTGCAGGCTTGTTGCTCTCGCATCAGGGTTCACGAACTCTGTCTGTAGTGCCTGCCGAATGGCTTGCACCGCTGTCCTAGAGCGTTTAGGAGAATTAGGGATCGCCATTGCCATGTGGAGTCAAATGATTGTGGTGAGAACGATGATGATGACGATGATGATGCTGATGTGGTTGTGGTGATGGTAAACATGAGTATGTTCATACTCGTGATGCTGGCACTCTGCAGCAGGGGCGATGGAATCACAATGACGATGCGGATGGCGTTGAAGAGAACGATAAACATAGTGACACTGCTTGTGGGCGAAGATGAGGATGCGGTTGTGTGGTAACAGCCAAGGATCCACATGAGGATGGTGATGAAGCTGGCGATGATGACTGCGATGTGATAACGGTTGCGATGGTTGTGAGCATTCGAAAAGTGCTGTTGTCGTGGAAACTTTAACAACCATCCTTCACTGTTGACTTCATACTAGAGCCTGCCCAAAGGTCCAGGCTGGCATCCTGTTTGCAAGTATCGAAATGAAGTCTCGAGGACCACGCATCCTTAAGCAAGTCTTGAAGCCATCATCTTTCCAATATACATTGTCTGCAATGTCAATCCCACCCGCACTGGCAAGGACCGACTGGGGCCACAGAGGCCAAGCAGGCCAAGAGCTGATTCTTCGCTCGCCTCCCACTTTGGAGAGCCTTTCGGTTGTGTCGCCACACTACGGCTGCCAAACGCGATTCTTTCACCTGTCGGATCAGTGCTAATCTTGGCTAGAAAAGAACAAAATCTTCTGAGACCCATGCAGAAGATGTTGCCCATTAATCAAACCTCGCACATAATGACATGACCACAATGCCCCAAACCGGGTATCAGGTTGGATTTGGGATTTGATCTGAGGGTATGGGCCTTGCCGCACCAGGGTTTTAGGACTGAGGCAACTAGCCTTCACCTCAAAGTAGCACTACATAAATATGCACTTCGGCTTACCCATGGCTTGTTTGACGCAGCCGTTGCAAGCTGCATCAGTAGCCGGTAAACGAGGTCGGAGGGCCGGATGCCTTGCGAAGCAGCACAGGCTTCAACAAAGCCGTCAAGGTCAGGAAATTGGATCATGGAGCTCGGATTCCTATGGAACTGCCTCTGTGGACTTGAGGATACCTTGATTCGGGATGGTGATGAGGTGATGACAATAACGGTTGCCTTGTGTGCTTGCAGCAGGGCCATCCCCTTTGGCCGGAAAGCTCAAGGAGCCAACCGTGCAACTTGTTCAGGTGTCCTTACAAGACCCTGGGTCGCCCGCCCGTCATGTGTGTTGCATCGAATCTTAAAACTATTCGAAGTATACTGGACTTCTAGCAGGTCTCGGGCCAGCTGCGAGAGGACCTGTATGGATCGAAGCGTCACGACATCAGACCCAGCGAAAGCAGCTTCGCTGCTGGAGCTAGAGGCTGCATGTTTCAAGAGGGTTTAAGTCTTGCACCCTTCGTTCAAGCATGAGCACTTCCAATCAGCACAAGCCCCCAAACCCTGCAACCGTAGCTCTGGCAAGTTGGCCCAGGTACCAAAGGCGAGCCGGACGGATGGTACAGCGGAGCGCCTGCCGATGTAGTGTAGGCTTAAGTATTCTCGCCATTGAAGGCCAAACGAAGAAATGGCACAAGCATCCTGATACACGACAACACAAAAACAATCCGTATTGTGTCCAGTGATCGCTGGTTTCGTTCGATTCCCCATTGAATTCGACCATGTTGATTTCCTGGAAAATTCTAGTGTCGGGAATTTCTGTGGATAGATCCAAGTACAACGGTTGTTCGAAAGCACAATCAAAAGGATCTGGAGACTTCGTGACGGCAGTCGGCATGACCGGGCGCAATTAAACTGCTGCGCGGGGACGGAAAGTATTGAAGCGCGTCATCCTCTGCAGCTGCACAGACAGCAAGCATCATCTCGCCACGGTGTCCAGGTTGAGGACTGTCGATACAAGTAACTCACATTTACGCCCACACGGAAGCACCCTTGTGTCCGGACGAACATGGGGTCAAGGCCACACTTGATTATTGGCAATAGACATAGGAGAGAACATGGGCAAAGTTCAAATGAACTCTGAACCAGCTGCTTGAATTTGGGACAGCCACCACGAAGCGCAAAAACCGGTTGCACCAGTCTACATGACAGCAGGCATGTATGAGCACATGACGGTTTAGCTCTTTTGGGTTGAGGCTGCCCAGCGTATTCGAGTTGAGTAAACGACGCCAACAAGAACAATGGAAATTGCTGTGCGGATACCTTCCTGCAGTACCTGAGGTGCTTCCATGTGAGAATCTTGCAAACCCTGAGCCCCCAAAAATCCGAAAAGAGCAAAAACCTCGGACCCCAATGCCGAACATCATAAAAGTTGATGAAGCTTAACGCAGAGCTGGGCCCCCTTGAAGAAGACCACAGCGCGGCATCGGCGACTCAAATGCGAACATCATAAAAGCTTCCGCCCGAAATCGGCCTGCAGGGGAGGAGCTTGGAGTCGGCCCAAACCTGCGGGAACCAAGAGAAAAAAATATGTTGGCTTCGGAAAAATCTTGCTTGTTATCGATTAAGTGTTGGTGAGGGAACGTACGGAAAGTCGACCAAAGGAAACATCAGCACCACCACCGTCATCATCTCGACGCAGCTCGCTGTTCTGGTAAAGTCTTCCTCTGAGGTAACATTGCTGTCAAGGCTACAGCAAGAGTGGCAGCAACTTACCGATGGCCTGAGAGCATCTCCCTGCAACTGGCGAAGTTTCCTCCAAACCAGTTTGACCTCTTCATGCTTGATACTTCCCGGAAGCGGGCTACATGTACTCTAGACAGGGCCTTACGGCACTTCCGGCACTTACAACCACCGAACCCAATCTCGCAAGACATAGGTGAAAATATTCAGTTATAGACACCGCTGAAAACAATAGATAAGCATGCTGCAAACGCGCACGCAAAGCTGCTGGGGCAAGCCTCTCAACACATCAAGAAGCCAAAGAAGTCGAATCCAAGAATCTAGGGCCCCTGCCCGGTGGCGTAAGGGTCCTGGCAGATCCCCACTGCAGAGCCCGAATCATCGGCAGATCCCTCACGGAATGCTCAGCTTCATCTCACAAGCTTCCTGCCACGCGCCGCAAGGTGCCGAAGCTGGTGGGGCCTGGGCATCTGGATCTTTGGGTTTGACCTCTTCTGCATGGCTCACTGGATTCCAGCTCCTGAACCACAAAAGGATCATGCTAAGCCCTCCAAGCTAAGCTTGTTGGAACGAAGGTCAGGCCGCGAAGGATCGCGAAGGTAGTGCAAAGAGGTCTTGAAGAGTTGGAAACCTCCGAGAAATCTGCTGAGCTCGGAGTACTGAGTCGGTCAATCTCTTCAACAGTGGATTCCATAGTGATGTCCGACAAACTCAGATGCGCATGAACTTCAGAAGCACGTGGCTGAGGAGCAGACAGGGAACATCTGGTGCATCTGTGAATGCATCACCAGCTGCCTCGCCACTGGCAAAAAACAAAGGTGTGTTGGATCAAGTGGCCAAGGCCCTCATCGCACCGTACCAGCCGCGAAAGGCCGGCACTCCCAGCACAACCTTCACCTGAAAGAAGCCCGGCACAAATCCGGAATCGCCTGACTTGTGCATGTCCTTCAGCGCGCCGTTTGGGACCCGCAGTGTGGACAGGCGGATAAACCGTCACAAGAACATATTCCCCAATTTCTCCATCAGCCTTGTCAGATTCTGCTTCATCACCATCATCACTATTATCGGTCATCTGGTCATCATCACCATAATAATCATCGTCGTCGTCATCACTCGTCATCGTGATGATCATGACCATCACCGTCGTAGTCATGAACCCCCTTTGCCGTCATCACGGGCAGCAGCATTGTCACCAACACGATCGCCAGCATCAGCATCATCATGATAATCCTTCTTACGGCTGTGCCCGCAATACAGTGACCAGAGATGGTAGGACAACTGCTGTGCTCGATGGTCCTTTCAATTTTGCTATTTCTCCCGCCCCGATGTCTGGCCCTCGGGTGGCCTCTGCCTCATCTGCTCCATGTGCTGCTCCTGCCGCGCAGAATACGTCGACCCACAGCGTCAGACCACCATTTAAATCCAACACTTGCGACTCGAAAGCACTGCCTTCAAGGCGCCACAGAAAAAACACAAAGTAAGCACAATGCTTGCTATGGGAAGGCGTCTAAGTCGAAGTCGTAGTAGTGGTAGTAGTAGCAGCAGCGGTAGGGTTGGTAATAGCAGTTGGAGGAGGAGTCAGCTGTGCAGCCACCGCACAATCAGGATGAAGAGGAGCAGGAGGAAGAAGCAATGATCAAAGTCTAGCCGCAGCAGCAGCATTGTCACTATTGCTAAAGATTCTGATTGCTACTATTGCTGATTAGAACGCTTCATTTGGGCGGCACTCGGAAGTGTAGGAGCAGAGTTATAGCAGTCGTCATCGCAGCCGTGGCCGTAATGGCTCTACGACTGCTCTTGGCTAAGTTAGTACGCTGTCTGTGCTGATGTCGATCCGGCGACAATTTAATTTGAAGATGTGCAAGTGTACTTTTTGCAGCGGCTCACAGTGTCAATGTTGGACCTGTACACTTACTGCGGTTGAGTCAGCTCTTGTTAGCATGTGCTCGCACTGAGGAGATCGAGCCAAGCCCTCAAATTGCACACACATGTACCTGTCGCATCCGCTCCATGTACATCTGCTGCTCCGCAAATCTTTGCCTTATCTCAGGCTAAAGACGCTTGCTCGAACAAGTACTTTGCGTGTGCGTGACACCGGATGACGACGAATGGTGACAATGAAGATGGCGACGCTGATAGTGACAGCGATCATGTTGATCTTGAGTCTTGAGTGGTGCCATAACATAGTCAGGGTGATGACGATCATGACGAGAAGGACGAGGCTGCCAAAGTGCGGAGAGCACGATATGAATTTTGCTACAGCGACGACTTCACACTGTGGAACCTTGAAGTGCAAGCAAGGTGCTGCTCCACGTACCGCTGCTGGTCCATCTGCATCTGCATCTGCATCTGCTGCTGCTGCTGCTGCTGCTGCTGCTGCTGCATGTACATCTGCTGGTCCATGGGCATCATCGGCTGCTCCATGTACCTGCTGCGAGCGAACCAAGCTGAGGCTGCAAACTGTTGCCGTCATTGCCGTCCCTCACCTCGTATCTGCAGGCGGCAGCGCATTGCCAAACGCCTCAGACGCGGGCAGGTCATATTTGCATCTTGAAACCCCAGCTTCAGACACCCAACGAGGCAACAGCTCAAATACCCGCATGCTACAAAAGCAGAACAGCCATGGTCTGGGAGGCTGGCAGATGCAGGCGCACACGGACCGGACCTCTGAAACGGAGGGGGCTGGCTCTGGGCAAGGGACGGTCCAGGGTTCAGCCGGGAGGCACTCTAGTTTCGGGTGCAGAGCTAAGGATTCAGGGATTCTGATTCCAACTTTCAGGTCCAGCATTCTCACTGCTGTTGTTGTAGTAAGCGTCATCCGAGCAGTTATCGCCGTAGTAGTGGTCGTAGTCGTGGTCGTGGTCAGGGTCGTCGTCCTAGTCGTAGTCGCAGTCGTCGTCGTCCTAGTGGTAGTCGTAGTCGTGGTCGTGGTCAGGGTCGTCGTCCTAGTCGTAGTCGTCGTCGTAGTTGTGGTAGCGGTAGTGGTAGTGGTAGCGGTAGTGGTAGTGGTGGCAGCAGTGGTAGCGGTAGCAGTAGCAGTAGCAAAAGCAAGAGCAGTGGCAGTAGCAGCAGCAGCAGTAGCAGTAGCGGTAGCGGTAGCGGTAGCAGTAGCAGTAGCAGTAGCAGCAGCAGCAGCAGCAGCAGCATTAGCAGTAGCAGTAGCAGTAGCAGTAGCAGTAGCAGTAGCAGTAGCAGTAGCGATAGCAGTAGCAGTAGCAGTAGCAGTAGCAGCAGCAGCAGCAGCAGCAGCAGCAGCAGCAGTAGCATTCATTCACCACGCAGCGAAGTGTCCGGGTTCGCCTAGCGAGCAGACAGCAACCGGGTGTTCCGGTGGCTGGAACCTCTTTTGGGTTCTGGAGGGCAGTGCCAGCTCCATCGACTAAGACCACACTTGCTCAGCATCAGGCACCAGGAGGTAGTACCTGACGTAGCCACACTATATATATGTTGTCATCGTGTTCTGTACTGACTGGCTTTGCGATGCAGGAGTCATCAGTGATCCACCACTTTTCTGCTCCAAACAGCGGTTGTCCTCGTAAGATAGTTCTGTAATGCCCCATATCAGGAGTGGCCCCGTAGTGAAGCTGTACAGCGACGACCTGGTAGTGGACATAGCGAACTTGCATTGTGTGCAGACCTGTAAAGAGTGGCATACGAACAGTAGTCGAGGCCACAACCAGCGGTCTGGTGTCCCTGCGCATGACTCCCTCGGCGTTTGTGAAGCGCTGAAGTTGTATGCAGAGCATGGAAGACGGAGTCAGCAGTGCATAACGAGCTGTAACCTGAGCACTCCACCCATCAATGGCTGCCTGAAGCTCCAGGCTTGGGCCTACCGGCAGCGCAATCGGAATGGGAGCTTGAGTAGGCCCCTTGTCAAGAGTGGCAATACCTCCAGGCACAAAGTTTCGGGCCTCCCAGCCACCATTGAACCCACTATGCGAGAACCTGGGTAGAAGATATTGTAACAGTTCAGCTGCATCGTGCTGACGATGCACAGAAGGCCAAGCTTGCAGCAGCATAAGCCACGGTACCGAGTGGAGTACCTGAATGGGGCAATTGGGTGTGGCAGTGATTGGTGGACACAGCATGGTAAGAGCCTGCGGTGGAGGCGAAACGTAGGCATCATGCAGCCTAGCCTGAAGGATTGTCCACAATAGTGCATAGATCGTAGAGTGTAGGTAGCACAAGTTTGAAGGATTGTGGAAAATCAATCGAAGGACAGCCTTGAGACTAGGGCGCACACTCAGTATGGCATCTGATGTTGCCACACTTCCTGGACCAGGGTGTCGTAGTTCGGTCGATCGCGGCGAAGCCTGCAGCCCAGGGTGTGCCACGATGCTTGTCCGATCCACTGGTTCAGCGTGCTCCACATGGCTCCTCCCTCTGGGCGAAGGGACATGCAGATCTGGAATTGAATCCAGTCGGAGGTCACCTCCGTGGTGAGCTTCCTCATGGACTTGAACCTCACCAGGGTCTCTTCCGTAACAGCCTTCCTCATCTGAACCAGTTGGGCCAACAGATCTTCCGCCGGTATTGGCCTCACCGAGTTGTCGACTTCCAGACATTGTTTGGTAGGATTCCATGTAAGATGTTTCCAATGTTTCTGATCGTCGATCCAGTTCAGGTTCTTGGCTTTGGCGAGAGCATCCTCGTCCGCAATCATGTTGGTCAACCTCTGGTGTAGGGTGATGAGCAGCTGCTTGAAGAGCATGAGTTTGAGGGAGTAAGTAATCTTCTCGGGTTCTTCCTCTTTCATCTTCCTCCACTTCTCCGCTGCTTCGCAGAGAACCGGTACCATCCCTTCTGGCCCTGATCGTACAAAGAGGTAGAGGACCAGATCCTGACGGATGGCTGAGATGATTTGCTCCTGACGAAGGACCAGCTGGGATAGTCGATTCATCCTGTACTCCATCCAGTCTGGATCGTGATTTCCCAGTGGCTGCAGGTCCTGAGTCTGTGTCCAGGGATTGGGTGGATGGCTTCCGAAACCATTTGTGTAGCCCGTGACCTGGTTGGCACTGGATGGACTTGGTAGGCCCTGCTTTCCCTTGCCTTTGCCCTTGGTACCCTTGCCCTTGCCTTTGTTCCGGTCCTGCGGAGCCAGACGCTGCCTCTTGGATTGCTCGGTTTGAGGCATCACATCTCGTCGTGGTTCCTGTTCCCGTTTGACCGGACCGGCATGGGCCCAAAATTGCTTCTCCTGCTCGTCCAGCTCCATGGGATCCGCGCAGAGCGTCATGGTGCACTGCTAGGAAGGCACAAATATGCAAAACATGACACTGTTTCCAATGACGATCTTTGTTGATGTTTCGCTGATGGCAGTATCGACATGGTACAACAGTATGTCGGCGGAAACCAGTAAGAAGCTTGAGAGTCGCAGGTTGGCATTCTTTCCACTCTGGATGTTGCATGGTGAGATGATACTTGATGCTGGTAGGGGTGGCTAGCCACTGGTAACACAGCGGGCAGTGGTGCTGGAGATACGAGTAGGTCTCCGGTTTCACAAGGAGGTCAGTCCACCTGCGGGCACTTAGTGTCTCAAGGACATGAGATTGCTGATAGAGAGGAGCAGCCTCATGGCTCGGCGAAGTGGAGCTATCCTGCAGGAGAGCATCCAAGACAGGGGGTTCAGGTATGCCGGCAGGAGTAGGCGGGGGCATAGCAGCCTGATCATTGGACAGGATGTGGGTCTCCGGAGAGAGATCCTGAGGTGGCAGAGTAGCCGGATCAGGGACTAGTACAGGATCGGAGTCATCAGAACTCGGAGCCAAGGGTGGGGCAGCAGCAGGAGGTTGTGTGGCAAGTCTTCGGAGTACCTGACACCGATTACGTTTAATGTGCTTGACGAGGCCGTCCCATTGTCGAAAGGGATGGGCACAGTGTCTGCACGTTGGGAGTCCTTCTGTTCCATGTGCATACCTGTCAAAAGGCACCGAGACAGCAGCAGGTGTTTTGAGGCCATGCCACTTAGCCTCGTGAGAGCGGAGGAGCCGAAAGGAGGTAAAGACCCGATGACATTCCTGGCACTGATGTACAGCAGGATCTGTTATGCCCTCTGTGTCCCCAAGAGGGACCTGCCATTGGCGTTGCACTTGGAGGTGAAGTGTAGCAGCAGTGTCTCGAGCTGATTCCACCTGGGCTGGGGTCACAAAGCTCGTTTCAGTGCTTAGGCGGGACAGGCTACGATGCAAGGCAGCGGCTTCCCTCTGTAGGTGCTCCAAAATGGTGGACAGAGTGCATCTGTGTAGAAGGTCCTGTGTGGACTCTTTCTGAAGATGTGCAAAGGATCGTGTGATGGCTCGAACCTGCTTGGTCATCATGTGCTGCATACGCTGGATGTCCTTGGCACCTGGGTTGGATGCTGCGATGCCATAGAGCAGCGTGGGAAGCACTGTGGATTTCCATAGACTGAGACGATGCGTCTGAGCAAGATGCCTGGTGGAGCACAGTACACCACGGAGTCTTTGCCAGGCTTGGTTCGCAGCCTGCAGCCGATAGGTGACTGCTTGTTTGGCCTGTGAATGGTAGGAGATACGTATGCCTAAGTACGTGTGATGGTCACGCAATGGAATTTCATACACTGTGCCCCGGGGACTGCGAAAACGTAGGAGGTCCCCCTCGGGTTTGGGTATGAGGTGTCGGCGCAGCCAGCCTCTGATGAAACTGCCCTTGTGTCTCAGTAGCAATGCTGATTTGGTCGAGTTGATGACCATACCATGGGCCGCAAGGGCATCGAGGATCGTACTAAAGCGATACACCATGTCGTCCAGCTCACGAGTGTTCTGCACAGTATCCTTGAGGTGTATATTTTCAGCATAAATCGTGGAGCAGTGCTCTAGCCAAGGTGCTGTGAGAAGTGGGTCCCCCGCAGCAAGAATCTCACGATATATCTGTGCTAGGGCGAGAGTCCAGAGCAACGGAGCCAGTTTACACCCTTGTCTAAGTCCTCTTTGGGCCTCCACCTTGGCAGTGTGCCCAAGGTGTGTGAGGACATAGGAGATTTCAGAGTGCCAGGACATGATTTGGTGTCTGAGCTCGGCCGGAACTTCGGACGCGAGTAGAGCCTTGTCCAGCAGGCGCCAGTCCATAAGGTCAAAAGCACTGGACAGGTCCAGCGATAGTTGTGCACCTGCAAAATGTGGGCAGGGTTTCGGCTGTTGTGCGTGACGATCAACAACCGTAGGTGTTGAAATCGAGCAGCGATCCTGAACATATTTGCAGTGTGCAGCAACCCGATGTATGGCTTGGGCAGCATTGCGACCTGGCAGATATGCAAATTGTGCCTGGTCTGCAAGGAATCTCTCGGCGTAGGGACGCAATTTCGCCTGCAGAATGGAGGCATATGCACGGCCACTGGATTCAGTTAACCCTATAGGTCTGAGATTCTTTGGTGAAAGGGGTCGTGGAATCTTGGGAACAAGGGTCAACCATGCGCTTCGCCAAAGCTCTGGTATTTGAGGCCATTGCCGGCACCATTGGCACAAGAGAGGCGCGACAAGGTCTGAGGTCAGCTTCCATAGAGAGTTTGTGGCTAAATTCGGAGGTGTAGCTTTATGTGGTGACAATTGCGAAAGTGCCAGGGTCATTTCGGCCGACTTCAATGTGAATGGGCTGTCGCTGGGGGCCCTGTATGCTGCCATCCTGGTCCGCAGCATACAATTTGCGATAGTGCGTTTCCAGCTGTTTTAGCTGGGTCTTGGGATCCTGCAGGTGTCCGCCAGAATCTCGCAGTTGAACCTTCGGCTTGGAGGATTTGGGAGCTAAGGTACGAATGCCAGCATATAGCTTGCGAGAGTCGCCTGAACTGGCAGCAGTCTGGAGTTCCTGTAGCCTGCCATGGAACCAGTGCTTTTTGGCTTCTTTCCCGGCACGACGAAAGGCCTTGTGTGCCGTCTTGAAGTGATGGTAGCACCTGGAAACATAAAGCGGATTATGCTGAGCTTGAGCTTTGGCTGTCTTCCAGACTCGGTAGGCCTGCCACATGGAGCGAATACCATCCTGCATAGGCGGTGTTTGCCATAGTGCCAGCCGATGCTGTCCTGCGGGTGGCGGGAAGAATTGGGAGGCACAGTGGATCAGAGTTTCATGCAATTGCCCAAGATCATGGACCCCTGGTAGGGACGCCTGGACAGCAGAGCGTAGACTTTGAACTCTCGGATCCCAGGTAGAGCGGCAAACCTGAATCAGGCCCCAATGGTCCCATGCCCGTTGTGGTGCCACCGGTTTGTTAAGAGTGTGGAAACGCTGAAGCGGGATGCTGGCCTTCAGTGGCAGGTGATATCCACCAAGTCTCCAGGCAGCCAGTCCCAGTCGGAGCGGTCTCGCCTGCCTAGCACGATCATCCGCTTGGCTGGAACGCATGATGATATGATCAATGAGGCTAGCACCTTTGTTGTGATGGTATGTAGGGCCAGCCGCCTTGCACCATGAGTTGAGGTGTAAGAGGGAGAAGTCCTCAACAAGGTGCTGCAACCTTGCCTGATCAGGCGGATGTGTACTCGTGCTGGTGCCTGAACAGATCCTGTTGCCGGCTGCAGCACACGGCTTGATCTGAGTATTAAAATCTCCAAGCATGATCACTGTGTTTCGGGCAGGCAGGGCTGCCAGGATCTTGCCAATGCACTCCCAGACAGCTAAACGTATGGTTTTCGAGGATTGCAGTGCGAGTGGATGAGAGTTGTGCGGCTTTTGATAGATGTGCAGCAGGTCAACTGCCCATTTGTCGTGGAGTATCCTCAAGTGTTGCACCCTGCCCGGTTGTGGGTCGGCGTAAACAATTCTGCAGTTGCGGGTAGTATTCTTATTGAGAAGAATCAGGAGCCCAGCAGATTTGTTATCCGTGGTTGGGGAGGTGTACACATCCCAAGTAGCAGTGGGAAATGTTGGCGCCACCTTGTCCGTCCAATGTGTTTCTTGTACACACACGATTTGGGGTCGTTCGTCAGGTGGCATGTTTTCAAGTGTCAGCAAGAATTCCTGCCACAGGGCCTGGGACAAGCCACCAGCATTCCATGAAAGGAACAGCAGGCGTCCCTGGGAGACTTTCAGAGCGGCCTGCTGCATGCGACGCTCAGCCTGAGGGGCAGGTCGATGGCCCCGATAGCCCTTGCAGAGCTGTTGCAGGGTACAGACACGACCTCGATAGATCGTATGCTGGGCCTCGTCCTGTGCAGCACGACGCAAGGCACGTTTGTAGGATCGCTTCCTGGCAAATGTGTGCACATTTGAATGGACGGTAGCCTGATTGAGGGTCGCTGAGTGATGTGCAACTGTAGGATGCAGGGGGTGTGCAGATGGCACTCCCCAGATCGACCTTGGTAGTGCAAGCAAAGTTGTGATGAACAGAATAGGGCGAGGGCATAGCCTGGGGTACGGCGTCGTGCCCGGAGTCTGACTGGGGCAATGCGTAGTCGACGGGGGGCAAGACCTGTCAGCAGTGTGGGTAGGTCGAGTGGCAGGGATTAGTGTTTGTGCTCCAGAGAGAGGCCTCCGGAAGCGAGAAGGGCCAGTAGAGGTAAGATGTAGAAGTGCTGGAGCCCGGATGGCAACGAGGCGAACAGGGAGACCCTGTTTGTAGAGGAAGAAGTACCGGGGTTTAGACAGCAGTGGAGCATATCCTAGCAGCAGCTTGTCCAGACTGTTTGGCACTCCACAGGGGCCTGTAGTCTGATCTCCCAGACCAGCCCACGATGAACAGATGACTGAAAACGGAGTGGAGGTCAGGCTAGGGGAGCAGGCGATGCCTAGAGTGACTCCTAGGTCAAAGCAAGTAGTGTGGTTTGGTGGGGGGTCTCGCAAGACTGCCCTCACCGCAGAGTGTAGTTCATTGGGCTCCTGCCACGGCTTCCCGTCCCCCACCACGAAGGTGAGTTTCGGTCTCGTGAGCGGGTGGCAGCCGCTCACAACCCTCGCCCCTACCGACTGTTCGGAGGCTAGATGGACAACCAGCGGGTGTCTGAGAGATAACAGGTTGTCAGCCGTATGAAAAAGTCGGTCTCCGGAATTGGGACCGGAGTGGCTCAGGGCAGGTATGTTGAGATTATGAGAGAGGCACTTCGGGATGCCAGTTGTCCATGTTGTCAAAAATGCTGGCAGCGACTTCGGAGGACGGTGCAGCAGATCGTCTACACATCTAATCCATAGTGTGCAGATCCAGGGCTGGAGGGGAATCCTTGGGTTGCAACGGCTCGGCAGAAACAGACTCACGGGATCTGATCTTGTTGGTCTGCGAGGTGCTAG